GTGTTTCCTAATAATATGCTAAGGAAGAAGCCCTACCAACTCTGCAGGAAAACTAGTTTCGATGATTCTTGAGTTTGTTGGGCAGCCTGAACTTCCTAACTTGTTCAGATGTATATTGGCTGAAAGAAGCTCTACTCAAGACACTTTTTAGTTAAGCCAGGAAAAACCAGTTTATGCAGAAGAGTTATGGCTTAAAGTGAGATATTGTCATATGCACTCTATGCACATCTATAGCATTTTGAAAGTTAGGCAATTATTTATTATAAAGATTAGTAGAAGCAACACATATATTAATTTATTAAACATCACTGGTTTCTAATTTAATAATAACATACAAATTACCATTGGTTTGCTTGTTATTGCTATAAAACAAAATGTGGCTTGCTAAATTAAAGTTTGCTGGTTTTAAGTGATATGACATTTTTGAGGTTTAATTTTGAAAACTAGTAAGTAATAGTTCTTCCATTTTCCATAAATATATGAAGTTACCAAAGTCAATAAAAAGATCTTTTCTTCTATATAATTCTATTTAACACATATACAGATTGGTAAACCTCTTAATCAGTATCTCATTGGAATAAATACCAGGATGGTAAAATAGATAGAGTGACCTTGGCATACTAAAAGGACCTTTATAGGTCAAAAGTTTACACTCTTCCTTTGAGAAGAACCTATGGAAAACTCCTGACAAAAGTCTATAGTGGATCATAAACAAATAGACACAATGCTACATATTTGGAAATTGTCTTTTAAAAAATGCTGATTGTTAAGAAAAAAAAAAAAAGAGAGAGAGAACAACAGAATTTTTAAAGCTTTAATTCATGAGAAAATAATCCATTCTTCATAATTATGAAAATGTCCAGATTCCAAATGTCTTAATCTGTCCCCTATACTCTTATCATAAAAAGATTTATAAAGGTACAAAATATCCCATTTCAACATGAGATGCCCCCATTTTTACACTTCTATCTCAAAAGACTTTTTCACTGTTTTTCTTTTAATCCTATTCTGGACTAAATGTATTCACATGTTCAACAACTCTGGAAATGTTATAAATTTACACTCCTGATTCAAGTGAAGACAAGCTCCAAGGCAAAGATGAGACTCTCTGACCCCCATGAATCACAGTGGAAAAGCCTGCTAACCTCACTGGACAGATTCTTCTGCTCCCCAGCCTCTTATCTTCTCACTTAACTGCCCACAAGCAAAGGTTTCCTTGCTTCTACTAAATAGTTTTGGGGTAAACATCCTGTTTTAGGTCCCTTCCACAGTGATTTATTGTAAAAGCAGGTGTTGAAAATAAGAGTGGGGATCTATTTTTAACTATGAATGAATAATGTTCTAGATGCCTACTAAACACACTTTGTTCCTTAGAGTCCTGATGTGCCAACTTTGAAATTTACCCAAAAAATGAAGTCCTACTACACTGGACCTCCAAAACCTGAAAGGGAGGTTATGGCCATGCTTGAATATTTGGTGCTTTGCATTTATATCTATTTTTACCTTTTCAAGGAAAAGGGGTGGCTCTAGATTCCAGCACTTGGAAATCACATGTTGATATAACAGGCTAATGGAACTGCAAGCTGAATCGGGTTGATCAGTTGATCCTCTGGATGCAGAGCTTTTAAAAGGCGTCTGAGTACATAGAAGTAGGAGACACACTCTCTCCTGCCTTCCCAGGACATCATTCCTTGCACCCCTATTGCTGTATGCATATGCATTGCCTCTTAAGGAAAAGAGGTGAGAGGAAAATTCTCTGTGTTGTATTCCTTTGCTTCACTGAGTAAGAAACTACATGGACTGGAGTCTGATTCCTTCCCAGACCTACAGAGCAAGAGAAAGAATGGAATATTCAACCTGAACACAGGGCTAGTATATCCAAATTCACGTGCTGGCTTAGTCAGCATCTTCCCTGGCAGCAGAGATACTGATGGAAAATTGCCTCCACCACCACTAGACTCCTGGGTTTACGGGCTTTTGAAAGACTGTGTCTCAGTCCTTATCAACAATTATTTACATCCACTGGATAACCAGGCACCTGAAGGATATTTTACATATTCTCTGGAACAAAGCAAAAATCTCATCACTGGTAGAGAGGTGGCTCTGAGGCTGAATCAAATGGCAGACCACTGATTAAAGCTAAATCCAGACAGAACAAGTTTCAGGTAAGGACAAGGAGAGGCAGCTTGAAGAATATGCTGACAAGAGGTAACAATAGCAACTGTGCTTTTCTGGTACAACACACTCCTCCATGATAAAGGTAATTTTTTGTCTGTAAGACAATGCTGTATCTCTCAAGCTGGTCTGAGACAGGCACAAAACTCAGCAACAGTCGAACCTCCCAAAACTCAGCACTGTCAAAAGTTCATGTAACTCTTCACTCATCTTGCCATCTCCCAGATCAGTGAGCAGCAATGCATATGTTTATCCTTTAAACGAAATTCTAAGCTTTAATTCTACATACTCCACCAAAAATGCTTTTCCCTCTGATAGAGGTTGCATTAAAAAATGTGTGCCAAGTTTTATTAATTTTAATCATTATGCTACTGGAAGACAACAGAGACTATGCCAATGAGGAGAGTGTAAAAATCTTACCAGTGAGAAAGCTACTGGGAATTGTGTTGTTATTTAGAGGGAATTCACCAGGCTTGTGGTGGATTACCTTTGTTGGTCAGATTTTCAGGAAGAGCACTTCTCCATACATCCAGAACTGAATATCCTGCTCCATCGCAGCAGAAGGCAAGTTGCCAACTTGCATGGCTGCAGAGATAATCTCCTAAAATTGTAATTAAAATTACAAAACCTGTCTGAATCTTATAACTGCCTGGAACTCAGCAGTATCAACTTTGGTGTTCCAATCATTTTGGCCTCAATATGTCCAACTACAACTTAATCACAGAATACTTTGGGTAGATGGGCATACGTGAGAAGACAAACTACAGTGGTTATTATGAGTACTGCCAGAAAACAAAGTCAGAGGAAGGCAGTGGGGGAGTGAAGGAAGGGAGGAAGGCGATCAAGCAAGAAGAAAAGCAGAAATGGTAATGAATTTGATGACAGCACACTGTACAAACCAAAATTACTCGGAGTGTATATAAAGGACAGGCTTTGCTTTTCTCCACCCTTGGCTGTGATATGCTTGCCATTTTTGCCAAGGAGTGAGCAGTCCATGTGCCTTTGGGGCAAATATGGAGTCCAGAGTTCATTCTCTGCCCTGTGAACTGCAGTTTCTTAGCTCACCACAGTTACTGACCTTGCCAGGAATTCCTGCCATGAGTCCTGCAGCTCTCCCACATGTACTGCAATTCCTCTGTCTCTGCAAAGGCAGGCTGATAAGAGTGTGAGACAGACACACCACTGGCATCCCAATCATGCTAACAAAACTACTCCTCATCATTAATTCCTTTAGCCTCGAGCATATTCTCCTGGCAGTGATCACTCTGAAGCTTGGATGATGCCCTTTCTAAGGGGACCAGGTTTCTGTCTCCTCTCCTTTCCTGAGGCAGGCAAGGGCTGTCCTCTCCACTGTCTCCTGTAAAGGTTTTGATTAAAAGTTGTTGCCTCCAACAACTTCACGAGGTACTTGCAGTACTTTTACAGGATCCCTTCCTCTGATCTTCTGTCCAAAAGGACTTCATCACCATTTCCTTGTCTCCTTTCATACCCTAAAGAGGTACAGATTTCCTTATTTTCCTATATCAGCATTGCTCCCACAGACAGTTTTTCTTCTGATCTCTTCCTGGTTTTTCTCCACATGTCATAAAATTACAGCATGGAACTCATTGAACAGAGTATCAGTTTTACAGATTCACAAAGAGACTGTGTAAACATACATAATTTATATGGACATCAAACCCACTGAAAGTTATCAAAGCAAACAGCAAAATAAACAAATGAAGCAAATTTCCAAACCAAAGCCCACACAAACCCTCAAGACATAACAACTCTGGTGTTTCAGGGTTTATACTGATCTCTAACTAACCAAGCTTAGGATGAGACCTGGAGCAGAGGACAGATAATCTCATGTCTGCTAATAAAAACTTTCTGCACTTCCTTCTCTCTTTTAAATTTCAAAGACGGGATACTGAACCAAATGGATTTGGTCCTTCATCCCACCAATGTTTCATTGCTCTGAAGAGATGCCTTGGATTTCTTGTTTATCTCAGTTTTCTTCTCGTATGGTCAAACTCCAGCACTTCCCTTTGCCTTCCTCCCCCTGCCCTCCCCATCCCCTCTAATCTCCACGGGGGTTTCTATATTAGTCTGAGTGGCTGGATAGGTCTCAGCCTCCATCTGGGGGGGGGGAGGATTAAACTTAATTTATCCTCTTAATTCAGCAACAATTTCCTCACCAAATCCTCTTCCTAGCTTCGCCTTCGCCCCAGCAGCTGGCTAGCATTTCAGCCCCGTACGTTCGGGGGAAAGAAAAAGGAGGAAACCCGTGTCAAATGCCGATGCTCCCTGGAGCGAGCAGCCCCGGGGCTGGGGTCCCGTCGGGCGGAACGGGCCGGGGGGCAGGAACGAGCAGGGGTCCCCGCTGAGGCAGGAGTGACACGCTGTACCCAGGGGTGACACAGGGCCCCAGGTACCCAGGGGTGACACAGGGCCCCGCTGTACCCAGGGGTGGGTGACACAGGGCCCCACTGTTCCCACGGGTGGCTCCTGAGGGCAGGGCCGCGCCGCCGAGCGGCCCCGCGGGCACGGGGTCTCCCGGCAGGGGACGCCGCGACCCCTTCGGCGGGGCTGGGGCGGGCGGCGCCCCGGGGGGAGGCGCCGAGCCGTGCCCCGCTCCGAGCGGCCGTAATCCCATCAAAGGGCCGGAGCCAGCCTCCTCCCCCCTTCCCTCCGTCCCTCCCCGCCCTGCCCGGCGCTCGTCCCAGCCCCGCTGTCCGCTGCTCGCCGCCCCGGCTCCGCTCCGCTCCCGGCAGGGCGCCGGCGCCCCTCGCCCGCGGCCAGCGGCCCCAGCTCCGCGCTCGCTCGGGCGGGGGGACTTGGCGCACATGGAGGTGCCGGGCGGCTGTCACGGCCGCTGCCTCGCCGTGGTGCTGCTCCTGGCTTCGTGCATCGGTTGTGCGGCCACGCCGCGCAGGAACATCCCCCGCCGGCAAGGTAGGACGGGCGGCGGCGGCAGACGAGCGGTGCCCGCCCCGCGACCCGCTCGCCCCGGCGGAGTTCCCTTGGGCGCTGGCGCTGCCCCGGCTCGGCACAGGCGGCCCCGGGGCCCGGGTGGGCAGCGGGCAGCGGCGCAGGTCGGGCCGGTCAGGGAGCTCGTCCGGGAGCCCGGCGGGGCGTACGCCGCTCCTCGCCCTTCGCTGCGAGCCCCTGCCGCCCTGGCGTGGGGAACAGAGGATGCCCAGGCAATGGCAGGGACCCGCCAAGTTGCCGGGTCGCTGTGTGACCCGTCGGATCGGTGTATAACCCGTTGGGTCTGTGTGTGACCCGTCGGGTCGGTGTATAACCCGTTGGGTCTGTGTGTGACCCGTCGGGTCGGTGTGGGACCCGTTTCCTCCGACGTCTTGCACCCAGTGCCGGTGGGTGCGCTCGGTTTACAAACCAGGACCAGGCTGCAGCTACTGCGGAAGAAATTGGCGGAAATTTTATCCGGTTTTCCCTGCATGCCGTTACCTGCGGTGCGGCGTGAGCAGAGTTAGAAGCCAGGTGAACCCCTAAGCAGTCAGGGGTGACCTGTCGGGAAGGCTGTCCGCGGCTGTGACATTGGTATGTGTGTCAGCGAATGCCCTAAGACACGGAGTAGTACATGTGAAAGAAAAATGACGAGAGAAGCAATGATTTTGTCCCAGAAATGCAGCTGTCGTGTACCAAGCATGATGTGGTTGTGTGCCTCCGGGTCCTGCTCCTGGCTGAGCGCTGCCCGTGTCCTGCGGGAGTTCCCGCGGCTGTCGAGGGGAGGTTTGCGCTGATCAAGGAGGTCCTGCACGAGGTTGAAAGTTAAAACCCCGAGTCTGCTGAAATCCTTTTACAGTCTGCAGCATATGAAACAGTAAGGTAAAATGTAAACAATAAGATGAGACATAGTGCATGGTGAAGTTTGACATTTTGTATACTTTACGAATTGCGGTGCTAAGAGAAGATAACAATGCCTGGGACTGTCTCAAACACTGTGGCTGTTCTGGAGTCTGTGACCAACATTGGCTCTTATCACTAAGTTCACTGAGACCATTTCAGCTGAAAATAGAAAAAGTTTAGTAAGTTCTGCCTCATCTCACAAAATGTTTGTAGCTTTTGATCTTTTTTGTATCTATCCCATGGTATTGAAAGATTTTTATTGCTGGTTTTTAGAATCACTATTGTGCCTTTTCTTGCTCACATATGAGAAGAAAACAAGTGCCTGTACAGTTGGAAACTTAATACTTAAATACAGCCTGAGCTTAAAACCCTTACTGGACAGATGGCTAATTTTACTGGTCTGACCTTGTCTCTTAGGGATCTAGTCCCATGATCCTTGGTTGTCATAATAGCCACCATTAAGTACTTGAGGAAATTAGGCAGACAGACGTTGTGAATGAAATGATTAGTAGTTTGCATTAAAAATACTGGGTATGTGGAGTTGGGGAGGCAAATATGTGAATATGTTAAGATATTCTTCCACTGTAACATACTGCTACATGTGTTTCCTGCTAGTCGCAGGAGAATGGCAGACCTGGGGAAAATGTATTTCTATGCATTAAATTAAAATGGCTTAAAGCTTGGAAATTTAACTGTAGTGTTCTGAAGGAAATTAATTAATATGTTTGTATTGTGTTTACCTTACTTTTGTTAGCAGGCATTTTTATGTTAATTTTTATAACAAGCTTCAGATTCACCTACTGATTCAATCATTCCTTTCTTTCTTCTTTTGCTATATAAGAAGTAATGAGTTTTACTGGGCAAAATTTTTTCAAAATCTGTGCAAACATTTGAAAATCCACTTGTAACAAGACTTGCAGAGGGAGAGCCCCTTATATTTTGTGGGGACTGTTGGAATTGAGGGCTCCCAAGCATGCCATGACCGGGTCCTTACTATGAAATATTGCCCTCAAAACACTCAGAACAGGTGTAGTTTCAAGCAGCTGGAACACCTCTGCCTTGTTTTGCAGCATATCATATGCTGGGTGGTTAAGAGTGGAAAAGAACTATAATTTGCTCATACATACAAAATTACACATTCAGTGAGTAAAGAAGAGATAAGATAGTAAAAAGTTCTTTAGGGTTTTTTTTTTAAATTTTGCCCTTTTAATATGGATAGAAGTGAGGCTTGTATAGGAATTTTAACTGAGGTGACAGGAAGAGGTTATATCAAGAGAGAAGTCATAAAACCAATTGATCTTCAATAACAGAAGCTGAATTTGAGGTCCTGTGGATCAAAAGAAAAAAGATAGTAAAATGGATCTCCGTTTTTTCTCAGGTTTCAGTTCAGGATTTAGTTTACAAAGACCAGTTCTGTAATCCCAAGAAAGCAGCAAAGAGAGAAATCTGTTTGTGAAGTTAAAAATATGTAGTAAAATGGCCACAAATGCACCTTCTTAAATTAATCTTCAGGGAAAAGGGCTGTCCTACTCAAATACAAGAGATTCTGATGACTGCTGAAATAATTTGAACATTTATTTACAGTTACATAATACATTTTCTGGAGACAAGAAAACGGGATGACAGACTCTTTGGGAAGGGCTTAAAACAAATCCTTAGACACCGTGTGGTGAATAGTATAGCTGGGAACAGATTAGCCTGGGATTCTCTATATCTTGTACTCCCAGAAGCTGGCACTCATGCTGCTGTTTTCACATTGTTTTCTTGCTTTTGCCTTCTGCAAAGGCACAGGTTTTTGCCATCTCTGTTTCAAGTTTCAACTGATTGAAGAATAGAGAGTCTGAAGCTAGCTCCCAATGCGTTCCTTTGCTACTAATATAAACACAGTATTTAATTTTAATGGTTGTGTGATTTTAGAGAATTTTAGGGAAAAGAGCTGACCAGTCCTGTGGATGTCCATGCCGTAAGGTTGTTGCACTGTATTGCATTGATGCTTCTTTAGTAACAGAGTGTAAAATTCCAACGCCCTGTAGAATAATAAAAGGGGTAAGATGGTCTGCATGGAGAGTAAAAATAATCATATCTGATGCTTAGGAATGCTTCTCCTTTTATAAATATATTATGCTTGCCAGCTAATATAAATAAAGAATTTGGCTTGTATCTCTTTCCCAGATGTCCACAGCAGTAGATATCACCAGCTTTCTGTGTAAATGCTGGAGGAATCAGACCAGTTAAAGCCTGAAGACTTTACAAGAGAGTAGCACTCAAATACCAGGGCCAGAGTTTCAAAAGAGTGCAGATCCTTGGTCAGGACTACAGTAAATGACTTTTTTTTCCAGTGGATTTGGCACTGGGATACTTGAATTATTTAGAAAATCTGACTATAATAAGAGCTGCTACATAAATAACACTTCTGAAATTCTAGCCTCATATTTATGTATCAAAATAGGTCAAACTGCCTTGAAATCAGGTCTACAGATATGAAAAATGCAACAGTCTTTGGGAAAGAAGGTGCTTATTTGAGTTTTTAAATATTACAGTTTTTTGGAACAACAATAGGATGAATTCTTACTCACTGTCATTATAAATCCCACACGTAAAGCATGCAAGGGTAAGGTTGATTTGCTGCTGGATGTGAAGTGTCTGAGAAGAGGAATGACTTGGAAGCTGAATGATTCCTAATGTGAGGGATGTAGAGCTGTCAGAGACTGTGCATACCTGTGAGCTAGAACTAATAAAGAAGATGTGAATAATTTATTTGAGGGAAGATTAGTATCATCCTCTTACAGTTTCAAAAATGCCTGATTTATTCAACACCAATAAAATCAAGCACTTATTATATATGTATTTGTTGTTTGTCACCTTCAGGTGTAAGTTGCATCACAACATTGTGTGACATTTTGATTTTGATTGGAGCTCCTCTTGTGCCTCTGGGATCCATGGGCTGGTAAATTCTGAAAACTGATCAATCACATCACCAGCTCATGCAGATAGGAGCATTCTGAGAATACTTCCCAGGGTAGCAATATGAATATGGTGAATTAGTCCACTTGAGCATGTTACTCTGTGTGTCACTGTTACTCATTTTGGAGTATGTTTTCTGGCTTTAGTTAGTCTCACTTGCAGCAAAATGTCTTGTGCCCTTTCCATCATGTAATTGCAATGTTCCTCTGTACAGGGAAACTTTCAGTAAATGTTTTTCATTGACACCATTTTGCCAGTGTCAATGTCTGAAATGACTATTCAGACTTCCACCGGTGTTCAGAAGGGTAAAATAAACCAAGCATTCTACACCTGATGCTGGGATTCACAATGATGCTTTGAAGAGCGGGGTTGTTTTGGAGTTAGGGCACTACAGTGAGTCTGGGGAAATCTTTCTGCCTTGAGGCTGTCACAGCCTGTCTTTGATGGCTTGCCAGTCCTTCACAGGCCAGATTTTTATTTTTAAAAATGGGATTGGAGTGTTTTTATGCTTTTATCCTTTTCCAACCATGCCACTTTAGACAGTGAAAATACTCCTATAGGGTGCTTATCACAGCTGTACCCCAATTTTAGTCAATGCTTCCACGGTTTAACTGAGTGATAATGTGTGGGTGATTTTCACGGTGTCTTCTGGTGTGCCTTGCAGAAAAAAACCCTCTTTTTCTCTCAGTGACACTGGACTAGGCAGGACACAGCACTGTGTACTGTTTGCAGCTCATTAGAAGTGAACACATCCAACAGTGATACTCACCTTGAACTTAATGGCAGGGATTCTGAGTGTCAGTCACCCAAAAGACATCCTGAGGAACAGAATAGTACCTTGTTTTCTTAAACTGGAAAATTTCAGTATTTGAGTTCTATTCAGTGCCTCTTAAAGCTCATTGATTAGCTGAGAGAATACTTGGAAGTTTGTAACTTCATGCTTAAATTTGCACTCAAATTTTTGCGTGTTTCTATTATCTTTTAATATGTGTTTATGCTTTTTTTAAAATTGAAAATAAAATTAATTCAAAAAAGGTGACTATTATTGCTTCATGTCCTCAAAACAGGACTGATAGGACCCTTTCACAACTTTTCCATCACAAGGAAATGAAACTCTC